TAGGCTTCAGGTTTAGGCTTAGGCTCAGGCTTAGGCTCATTAGTAGGCTCAGTCTTAGGCCTAGTCTTAAAGTTGGGCTCAGGCTTAGGCGCAGGCTTAGGCTCCAGGCTTAGTCTTAGGTTCCGTCTTAGGTTCAGGCTAAGGCTCAGTCTTGGGCTCATTCTTTGGCTCAGGCTTAAACTTGGGTTCAGGCTTTGGGGCAGGCTTAGGTACAGGCTTAGTCTTAGGCTCAGGCTTAGTCTTAGGCTCCGTCTTAGGTTCAGGCTAAGGCTCAGTCTTGGGCTCATTCTTTGGCTCAGGCTTAAACTTGGGTTCAGGCTTAGGGGCAGGCTTAGGTACAGGCTTAGTCTTAGGCTCAGGCTTAGTCTTAGGCTCCGTCTTAGGTTCAGGCTTAGGCTCAGTGTTGGAATGGCCTCGTTTGTCTGGCTCAGGCTTAGGTTTAGGCTCAGTCTTGGGCTCATTCTTAGGCTCAGGCTTAAACTTGGGCTCAGGCTCAGGCTTAGGCTCAGAATAGGTCCAGGCTTTGATATTTCTAAACTGGGTTATCAAATTAGATTGAATTTAGTACCATTTGAAAGCCAGAAGTGCCTTCGATCCAACAATAAAAAAGCTAACAGAAATATCGTCTCTTTCCTCTTCTCCTTGCTAATTGTCTTCTAAAAACTCTTCAGCCTCTCGAACATATGTAATTTGAATACCTATCCTTTTTGCAACTTCACAAAGAAGCATTATTACAAAGCACACAGTACAGAGCTTGGGGAAAAGCTGAAATCCGAGCCCGATCCGAGTTTAGAAGTCGAGGGGGGAAAGAGAACCGTTAGCGGTGTACTCGAGCAGTTTGGGACACAACGAAAGACCTCATGGCTTTTTCTCTCTATCTCATTGATCTCCTCAATCCCCCGATCGTTAGCTGTTTGCTTGGGCTGAGAGCCGATCGATTGTGTTCCCCGACCCTTCTAGACCCCCACTGAGACAGGGAAATGGCTGTGTGGCTCACGATATCCCCTTCCCACTTTCCAAATCCTCAACCCACTCGATCAGCTTTTTGGTTAATCGAAACCGATTTCGTAAAGATTAGTGCTATGCTATGCTTGTCTTGGTGCAGGCTTAGGCTTAAGCTTAGGCTTCTAATTTCTTCTAATCACTTTTCTTGTTTACAAGTGCTTCTAATCAGTACAATTACAATTACAATTACAATCATTACAAGTTTGGGATCGTAAATCGAATTGTTACACAATTTTTTACCTTTTTTGGCATTTGATTTGTTGGATTCTCTGTTTCTTTGTATTTATTCAACTTCCATTGAGATTTTTAATTGAACTTTTGAGAAATTTTGAGGCAAACTTACCAGACAAAAGTGAGCTGAAGTAAAAGTGATTTTAAACTCAAAGAATTAACAGGAACTTTTTAAACTAAACTAAACTAAACTAAACTAAACTAAACTAAACTAAACTAAACTAAACTAAACTAAACTATTGGACTAGACGTAGAATTGAATTGTTTGTTCAGGCTGAAATAAACTAAGATGTCATGGATTTTTTTCTAATCTTTTTTATATTCATAAAACGTTTCAACAATTTCTTTAACACTGCAGCAATGTAAAAACCTTTTTTATGTCTATCTTTCAACAATCAAAATGTTTCTATCCCTTTCTGCATTTATCTTTTCAGAAATTTTGAGGCAAACTTACCAGACACAAGTTTAAGCTGAAGCTTGAGCTGAAGCTTGAGCTGAAGCTTGAGCTGAAGCTTGAGCTGAAGCTTGAGCTGAAGCTTGAGCTGAAGCTTGAGCTGAAGCTTGGCTGAAGCTTGAGCTGAAGCTTGAGCTGAAGCTTGAGCTGAAGCTTGGGCTGAAGCCGGGCTGAAGCTTGAGCTGAGCTTGGCTGAAGCTTGGCTGAGCTTGAGTGAAGCTGAGGTTGAAGCCGGCTGAAGCTTGGCTGAAGCTTGAGCTGAAGCTTGAGCTGAGCTTGAGCTGAAGCTGGGCTGAAGCTTGAGCTGAAGCTGGGCTGAAGCAGGCTGGAGCTTGGCTAAGCTTGAGCTGAGCTTGAGCTGAAGCTTGAGCTGAAGCTTGAGCTGAAGCTTGAGCTGAAGCTTGAGCTAAAGTAAAAGTGATTTAAAGCTCTAAGAATTAACAGGAAATACCAGTTTGACAATTTCCACTTTTCTTATTTCCTATACACTTGGAGAAGTCGGGAAACCGATAAAAGCTCTAGATAGCCTACAGGAATTGACATAAACTCTGTCATCTTTCACTTCACTCATTTCACTCCATTTCTTTCACCCCATTTTTTGTTCTTCCGTTAAACGATTTCCGCTAAATATTCCCGCTCGTGTTCAAATCGATTTCCCCTTTTCTTTTTCTTTTTTATAGCATAGTTGTTCGGGGTCTCCGCCCTCAGAATCTCATGTATTATTCAAAAAAAATGCCACAGCACATTGCCACCGCACTTTTTGTAGAGAAAAGAGAGAAAACGAGCAAAAAAAGAAGCCAAAAAAGGAGAAAAACGACGGAAAACGACGGAAAAGTTCACTCCTTTCTTCTTTTGTGCAAAAAAAGCAAACATGCATAGTTAAATTAGAAAAATACTCAAAAATGGGCATGGTTTAGTGGGAATGGAACAATATTTGCATATATTGTGATCTGTGATCAGTGATCTTGAGCATTCTGTGATCAATTTAAGTTGTATCCTTGATTATTGACATGATCTTTGAATGATCTTTGAATGATTCTGGAATGATCCTTGAATGATCCTTGAAGTAAACTCGAAGAACTAATTAATTAGCTTATTAAGCTGTAATGAGTAAAGTTTTAAATCCATTGCTTACATAGTTAGAGCTAGTTCAACTCTTTAGCTAGCTCTTTAAACTGGAACTCTAGCTGCAACTCTAGCTGCAACTCTAGGGAACTCTAACTGGAACTCTAGCTGTAACTCTAGCTGGAATTCTAGCTGGAACTCTAGCTAGAATTCTAGCTGGAACTCTAGCTGGAACTCTAGCTGGAATTCTAGCTGGAACTCTAGCTAGAATTCTAGCTGGAACTCTAGCTGGAACTCTAGCTAGAATTCTAGCTGGAACTCTAGCTGGAACTCTAGCTGTAACTCTAGCTGGAACTCTAGCTAGAATTCTAGCTGGAACTCTAGCGGGAACTCTGGGAACTCTAACTGGAACTCTAGCTGATTCTAGGACTCTAATGGAACCTGCTGGAACTCTGCTGGACCTGCTGGTTCTACTGGAACTCTAGCTAGAATTCACGGACTCTGCTGGACTCTGCTGTAACTCTAGCTGGAATTCTAGCTGGAACTCTAGCGGGAACTCTAGCGGGAACTCTAACTGTAACTTTTAAAGTTTTATTTCAATATCTTGATGCAATTGCTATGTTACAACTGGTTTTTCTTGTTCATTTTGTAAACCTTAAAAGTTTTGCTCATCATATTCCTTTTCAAAGAAACCACCTCTAGTAAAGATCTCAATCTTTACCCTTGTTCGATAAGAATCTTTTATTGATGTTCAAGGTTAACTTGCGACAAAAGAGCGGGAAGTTTTTTTTTGGGAAAAAAGAAATGGTGAGACAAAAGACCCCATTTGACCCAAATCGATAGGCAAATTTGGGAAGTGGTTTGCTAAGAAAGGGAACTATTAAGGAAAAGAGGATAATCTTAATGCTATTCAACTCAAAAAATTGATTTTAATTGATTTTAATTTTAATTTGAATGTTTCCAGAACCCGGGAGAAACGATTTCCGTTCTTTATAGCCTAAGAAGCCGTATTTTTACCCTTTTTTTCTTTCTAGATGATACTTCATGTACTTATAATATGCTAATAGATTTGGGAAGCACTAAATTTTATATTAAAAAAGCTTAACAATCTAGGAGTGGAAAATCTCGGATATTTTCACGTGTGAGGAAATTGGGAAACCTTATAGGATTCAGATTTAGAGGATTTAGAGTGACTTTCTCCTTTGGAACGCGTTTTAAAAAGCGATTACTCGAAAGGAACACATCCTACTTATAAAGCCTTAGTGAACAAGCCAACAATACTGAAATTGTAGAATCCCCCGAGATCAATTCCAGGATCAAGACTTTCAAAATCCTCTACGTCCTCTAGATCCTCCAGTTCATCTAGATTCTCTGGATCCTCTAGATCCTCCAGTTCATCTAGATTCTCTGGATCCTCTAGATCCTCTAGATCCATGCCTCTAGATCCTCTAGATCCCCTAGATCCATTTCTCTAGATCCTCTAGGTTCCCTCGATCCTTTAGATCCCCTAGATCCTCTAGATCCTTTAGATCCATGCCTCTAGATCCTCTAGATCCCCTAGATCCATTTCTCTAGATCCTCTAGGTTCCCTCGATCCTTTAGATCCCCTAGATCCTCTAGATCCTTTAGATCCATGCCTCTAGATCCTCTAGATCCCCTAGATCCATTTCTCTAGATCCTCTAGGTTCCCTCGATCCTTTAGATCCCCTAGATCCTCTAGATCCTTTAGATCCATTCCTCTAGATCCTCTAGATCCTCTAGATCCATTCCTCTAAATAAAATGTTTCTCAAACTTTCATCTAGTCCCCAGCCCAGATTTATCCCCAAATCCTTTCCAGGATGGGATGTAACACGCAGAGAGGGGAAGCCAAAGAGAGTCTCATTCTGATTCAACTGAGGAAATCCTACGTGAGCGCGGGATATTGGTGTCCGAGGCTTGGAGGGAAGGGAATGGACGAGAGTGGCTGTGGAGGTTGAGGGAGAGAGAGGGGTCCTCTGTGAGGGAAAGGGGTGGCGGCGGTTGCGTCGCGTTCTCCCCCCTTCTCTCCACCCCTTTTCCCCTTCAATCCTTCTCTTTTTGGGCCTAGGCATCTACCTGAAAATATTCCACACGATTGCCCTCTTGTCGAGTACTCCACGTAACCAACTCGCCTCACATTGGCCTACTTTTCGAAAAGTTTCCCTTACACCCGCGTCTCTGCAACTTTTCGGATTTTAATCTTGTAATCTAAAACTAAACTTGTGAATGGTCGCTGTGGCCAATATTGCAGTGCCAATGGCAGCGAGGATTCAGGTAAATTCTTGGCTTTTGGCACTTTTTAGGGCTTTCTGGCTTTCTGGCTAGTTTCGGGCTCTTAGCTGGGCGTTAGTTGCTCAAAAATTGCTTTAAAGCGGTTTACTGCGAAAAAAAGCGGTTTAAACCGCGCTGTAGTTGTGTGAAAACCCGGATTTCTTGCTGAAATTGAATATCCAACTTTTTCTAGACAAGTTTCACGATTAATAATAGAAAAAGTGAATCAATTTGTTCATTTCTTTTTAAACCTACAAGATCAGGCAAATTTCTAATCTAATTCCCCATTTCAATCGAATCAAATACAAGATTTTATCAAACTTCTAGAACTGCGACAATTGATTTTTGCTTAAAAATTTGTAAAATTGATGCCACTCCATCAAAATCTCACCCAAAATCTCAAAATCTTCACAACAATTTATTTTCACCCGTACCGTTTTCGTAAAAAGAAGCTTATCAGCATTTTGTTTATATTTACCACCTGATTCTTGTTTTTTACCCAAAGTTCAAAGAAAAAAGTGTGACAAACGTTTTAATGATTTTCTTTTTTTTAGAATATGCAAGCCCTTTACCAACTCTCATCGGGCGCCACACCGCAAGCCTACCAAACGCCTGGACAGGTTTGTGTACTTATTGAAAAAGATATCTACTTAAAAAGATGGCTAGTTGAAAAGGTATCTAGTTGAAAAGGTATCTAACTGAAAAGATATCTAACTAGAAAGATATTTAACTAAAAAGATATCTAGTTGAAAAGGTATATAGTTAAAAAGATATCTAGTGAAAGAAATATCTACTTAAAAAGATATCTAGTCAAAAAGATCTCTAACAAATAACAAAACAAAAAGATATCTAATTAAAAAGATATCTTATTAAAAAGGTATCTAGTTGAATAGCTATCTAACTAAAAAGCTATCTAACTAAAAAGATATCTAACTAAAAAGATATCTAACTAAAAAGATATCTAACTAAAAAGATATCTAACTAAAAAGATATCTAACTAAAAAGATATCTAACTAAAAAGATATCTAACTAAAAAGATATCTAACTAAAAAGATATCTAACTAAAAAGATATCTAACTAAAAAGCTATCTAACTAAAAAGCTATCTAACTAAAAAGCTATCTAACTAAAAAGATATCTAACTAAAAAGCTATCTAACTAAAAAGCTATCTAACTAAAAAAGATATCTAATTAAAAAGATATCTAACTAAAAAGCTATCTAACTAAAAAGATATCTAACTAAAAAGCTATCTAACTAAAAAGATATCTAACTAAAAAGCTATCTAACTAAAAAAGATATCTAATTAAAAAGATATCTAACTAAAAAGCTATCTAACTAAAAAGCTATCTAACTAAAAAGATATCTAACTAAAAAGCTATCTAACTAAAAAGATATCTAACTAAAAAGATATCTAGTTAGAAAGATATCTAGTTGAATAGCTATCTAATTAGAAAGATATCTAACTAAAAAGATATCTAGTTGAATAGCTATCTAACTAAAAAGATATCTAACTAAAAAGATATCTAGTTAAAAAGCTATCTAACAAGATATCTACTTAAAAAGATTTAATTCCCATTGTTCTACAATACTTCTAAAGTTAAAGCTGATTAGCTAATCATTGAAAAGTTTTCCAATAGCAAGCTAAGACCAAAAAGCTGACTGTTAAGCTCCAGGATCATACAATTATTGTAAGCTAACACTTGTAAGATTCTGAAAGAGATCTTAATGTCTAAATCTGTGGCTAAATTCTTTAGCTAAAGCTCAGGCTTAGGCTTTTTCTAGTTATATCTAAATATATACTGTATAACTAAAAAGGCTTACGATGGTTATCGCTGGCTTTCAAATTTTTCGTGGGCCAACTCCAAGAACCCAAAACAATGCCTGACAAAACAAAACAAAACCATAAGACCAATTTCCATCAAAATTCTTTACTTTTTGTAGAGTGTTGTCCTAAACTCTGTACTAAACTCTCAAATGAAAGGCCGAAGAATATTTCCTGTGAATTGATAGTCTCTCTTTATTCTCTCAACTCTCTCAACTCTCTCAACTCTTTCAATCAAACACTTTTTACGACCGGGGATTGCGAGCGCCTTTGAAGCCTTCAGCTCATAACATCTGCGTCAGGCAATACGCGTGGGTAGTTTGAGATTTCGAGGCTTGGATTTAGTCACAGTTTGTTTTAAAGTACGTAAAGTGATAGGTTTATGGATTTGGGAAGGTTTTGGTTATGATTCAGCTTTGATTTTTAGAGTTATCAGAAAGCTTTTAAGATATTCATTTATTGACTTGAAGATCTTTGTTATTCAGATAAGATCTGAAGATATTCTCTGTTGGCTGAATATCTTTTGTTTCATTTGCAATTCTGAGCAGATATACAGCTAATTAAATCAAGATCAATTGGCTAAATAGCTTTATGGATATTCAGTCGCTTTTGTTGAGCTTTTGATATTGTTGTCGATTAAATCTCTTCGAAAAGCTCAATAGCTTTAAATTGTTCACCTGAATATCTGTTATTAGATATACAGATTTATAGATATTCAGATATTTAGATATTCAGATATTTAGATCGTCAGCTATTTAGATAGACAGCTATTTAGATATTTAGATATTTAGATAGACAGCTATTTAGATAGTCAGCTATTTAGATATTCAGATATTTAGATAGTCAGATATTTAGATAGTCAGCTATTTAGATATTCAGATATTTAGATAGACAGCTATTTAGATATTTAGATATTTAGATAGACAGCTATTTAGATAGACAGCTATCTAGAGATTCAGCTATCTAGATATTCAGATATTTAGATAGTCAGATATTTAGATATTCAGATATTTAGATATTCAGATATTTAGCTAGTCAGCTATTTAGAGATTCAGCTATTTAGATATTCAGATGATCTCAAGATATTCTTCAATCGATCAAAGCTAATCCAATATTTCTGTAATATCATCCATCTGAATATCAATCAAAGACTTGTTTACATAGAAATCAGCAAGTCTATAGTCCATTCTTCAACTCTTCTAGTTATCTTTTTCATCCTCTTTCCTGTTTTGTTTCTCTTTTAAGATCAACCAATTTTTGCTCTTTCTTCCCCTTTCCCTCTGCCAATATCCAATACAATTTTCTACGCAGCTAGGCATTTCTTGTTTTTATTTTCAAAGCCATAGAACAAGGCAAGTTCTGCTAGTTCCATTTGCCAGCGAAAATCAAAATCGTTTCCTGGATTTTATTGAGTCGTTTCAAATGGTTCAATAGGGAAGCGATAGTAAGAGGAATTAGGTTTCCTTGTAAACTCGATCTTTCAATATTGGCAAAGAAGGCAATGTTAAATGTTAAAGAATGTTAAATGACTCAAATGCTTACAAGATTTTTCGGATTGTAAACTAATTTCATAAACTTTCTCAAGCTTTTAAATAAAAAAGATCTTTTAACAAGGCAATTTGGTGGCATATAGAAATCTTAGATTAACTTAATATTCTAGTTTTTTGTACAGTAGTTTAGTTACAGTTTTTACAACAAAGCGTTTTCTATTGATAACTTAGCTAGCTAGCTAACTAAATAACTAAATAGCTAACCAGCTAACTAACTAACTAACTAACTAACTAGCTAGCTAACTTGTTAGCTGGCGGCTAGCTAACTTAACTAACTAACTAGCTAGCTAGCTAACTAACTAACTAATTAACTAACTAACTAACTAACTAGCTAGCTAACTAAATAACTAAATAACTTGCTAGCTAACTAACTAACTAGCTAGCTAACTAAATAACTAAATAACTTGCTAGCTAACTAACTAACTAGCTAGCTAGCTAACTATCTAACTAACTAACTAAACTAACTAACTAACTAACTTAAATAACTTTTGCTTTTGATAAGCAAATCTTGTAACAAAATGAAGAAAATGATTGAATAGTTCAAGTTTAGTCAAATTTTTGAATGAATTCTATTTTCAGTCTAATTTCTTCAAATCTTACATTTCTCAAAAATCTTTTAACAAAAATTAAAAGCTTTTCAAGAATAAAAAAGCATTTTAAGAATAAAAAAGCATTTGAAGAATAACAAAACAAATTTTTAAAGAATATAAAAGCAATTCATCACTTCTTATAACCTTCTCAGCTCAGTTTCATCGTTTTCCCAAAAAGATTAGCATCTTGTTTGCTTAGCCAAAACCTTCCGAAGTAGATTCTAATCGTTCCTAGATTTTTTAAAGTTTCTAGATTTCCTATATTTTCTAGATCCAAACTTTTTATACAAACTCAATAGATGAACGTACTCTTTTCTTCAATCCAAGAGTTTTTCCACCAGGATCCTCTCACTCTCAGCAGCATTGCAGAGTAAAGAGGCTGTGTGTGTGTAAAAGCAAACATTCAAAGTGCCATCCTCATCCTCTTTCTCGTTTCGACTCAGTCAGCCGCTCGAATCGAAGGCCACTCTTCTCTTTTCACTCACTCTCCTTCTCCCAGAGTTTTGTTTGACCGTTATTGAACGCTCGTTTTTTTCTTTTTTTTATTTCTACTTAACAACTCGTGGTCTCACATTCAAAAACGTGGCCCATTATTGTCATTTTTTGGAGGAATTTTGGATTCAATGGGTTAAAGATAAGATATTGAAGCCAAATTCGAAGCCAAACCTCGAACCTTTGACTGTTTAAGCTTAAAATATCGATTTAACAGCTATTAATCCTATATGTAACTGTTCAAGAAGCTTAACTCCAGACTCTGAATACCGTATTTTCTCTATACGTGCACCTAGCCGAGCCGAGTTGATGCCTATTTTACGGTTTCCAAGCTTTTGCAGAAGCTCAACACTCTAATCCCCCAAAAGATCTCATCGTCAGCTACATTTTCCGGTCCCACATCGATAGGTTCTGATAAGCGGTTCTCGAGATTTCGCGCAATTAAGGCGACGCGCTGGGTGCACTACTATTAAAGAGAATACGGTATATAGCTAAATAACTAAATAACGATAGGTTCTGATAAGCACTTCTCGAGATTTCGTACAATTTAGACACTGCTTTGGATGCACTATTAGAGAAAATACGGTAATGTGACCGTTTAAGCTTTGTTGATTAGACAGCACACCTAAAACTAATCATTCTTTGGGCTAATTGACCTAAAAGCTAATTTTTCTTAACCCGCTTTAAGTCAAATTCTTAGACATAAGCTTTGTTTTGCCAAGTATTGACCCAAATATCTAACTCTATTAATCTTAAAAAGTTAAAAAGCTTTTTCAGCAGAAGAGTTGCCGTTTTAATTGCCTCTGGAGAGCTTATTTTAAAGCCTGAGTTGGTTTTGAACTTGGTCTTGAATTTGGCTTTGAATTTGGCTTTGAACTTGGCTTTGAACTTGGCTTTGAAATCGACGAATCACTTTTGCAAGTGTTAATCAAATAGCTCTAATCAAGTCAAAACTTAATATGGAAACAGTTGCTGAATTGCTGGATTGCTAAATTGGTGAATTGAATTAAAGTTGAATTGTTGAATTGAAGTTGAATTGATGGATTGGATCGAAGTTGAATTGCAGCCTTAATTGCCCCTGGATAGCTTGTTTTCAACTAACTCCGCTCCTTTTTTGACCCGTTTGCCATTGACAATCCATTGGCAACCATTTTGCTTATATTTTGACCGGTTTTGTTTGGAAAACGTTGAATTTGCTTTCATTTTATAGAAAATTTGATTTCGAATCGAATGAAAGCAAATTCAACATTTTTCAAAAAAACTCGGCTAAGATATGCGCAAAAAAACGGCCTTATACATAGATTGCCAACGGCAAACCGGCTGAAAAAGGGGCGGAGTTAACAAGGCTGCTTGTTTTAAAGTCAAGAAGTTTCAGAAAGCTAATCGCTCTGCAAAGCTTGACCCAAATAGCTCTAATCAATCATAGTAGAATACGAGTATGGAGGCTAATTGTTGAGTGCGAGAGCAAAGAAGGGTTTGCGGGTGAGTGAAGGGGATGGGAGGGGTGCTTGAGAGTGAAGTGTCCCGTTCCCTTCACCCTAGCCCTTCTCAATTGGCCTCCCCTCCCCGAAGCTATCCGAATCTCATCTCTGGCTTTATAGCTCCATCATCTTCGACCTCTTGGTCTCATCATTTCTTGCACTCATCCCTTTCTTTTTTTGCCTCTTTTCTTTTGCCTCTTTGTGTTTGCCGTTTCACTCAACTATCCCCCATTCCCTTCAACCAAAAAGCCTTGAGGCCGTTTTAACGGCTTTTACTTTTTCTGCGATAAACTCTTCACAATTGATTGTAGTTGATCGATTTCTCTCTCGGTTTATTTCTTAACTTTACTTGACTTTCTGGTACTTGACTGGTTCTAATACGGTTGATAATCGTTTTATGTTAAAGTTCCTGTTTTTGATAAGGTTGATAATCGTTTTATGTTACAGCTTTTGTAAAAAAAGAATAGAACTTCAGTTTCTAATAGAATTAAAGCAAGATTTACTATCTAAAAGGGAGGTGTTTGTTCTTCCGTCTGTACGAGCCAGCTCTCGGCTCCCCGTAGACAGATTTAAATCATTTTTAGTTTGTCAGGCTTAGAATTCTATAGAGTTGTGCATCTCATATTTTGTTTTTCAAAAAATAAAAGTCCCGACACAACCGGGAGTTGAACCCAGGCCTTGTGGGTCGAACCCGGGCCGTAAACAAGCGTGCTTCCGACTGCGCCACGGCGACAAAACTCATGTAGCCCCCGTTAGACGGGTTTTTTAGCTTTTACAGTAATAATTCCGTAGATATACGCTTTTTGGCTATTATACAGTCAGCAAAGAAGCAAAATTGCAAACTTAGCTTTAAAAACATGAAGAATCAGTAATTGAAAATTCTCATGGCTTCAGTGAGTGAGAAATCGTGGTTCTCTTTGGAGTTTCAATGTTTTGTTTAAAATGATCTTACTTTTTGACGCTAATGAGTTCGAATCTTATGAATATTTGGGCCAAGCAACTCATTGATCACTCAAATTCCAGGTGCCAGTCTCGTTGGGACTTCACCTTGCCGCAAACGGGATGACGATGTCTCCGGCTCTCCTCCAACACCTCCAAGCACAACAAGCCGCCGCTCATGCCGGTTTGTTCAAGAATCGATCGTTTAAAAAGCCATTAAATCAATTAAATCCATTGAAAATCCATCGTCGAATCCATTAAATCCATTGAAAATCCATCATCGACACCATTAAAATCTCTATTTTTAAACTTTCAAAGTCTTGAGTCTCATTTCAATCATTTTTTCAGACAAGGTCACTCTTGAGATTAGATCTTTTCTTAAATTTCATCAAATCTAGTTCCACAACAAAGTCAAAGTGAATTTTGAGATTCCGCGGAATTTTCAATTACTTATTCTTCACTAGAATCTCTAAATCTTCAAGAACTAGGTAATTAGATTTTGTTGAATCTCGGGCTCGATCTCTGTTACTCCAAAGGCTTTGTTAGGCGTGAATCTCGAGATTTCAACGTTAGCTTTACAAATCAAAGTCTCTTTAAGCTCAAATTTAAACTCTTATTGCTTGTACTCGATTTTGGATGGAATTTTGAAAGCCTAGCTAGCTTAGAAGCAATGTAGCGACGAAGCCTAGCTAGCTTCATTGTTATATTATATTCTTAAATCCATTTCTCATCCTTGCAAGCCCCTAAAGCCATAAATTGTGCACAAGTAGATTGTCCTCTGTTCTCTTTTCTCAAAGCTGTCACCCCTAACTTAGGGGTCCCCATGGGCACCCAATTAGGGAGCAATTCGAGGAGACAAATCACATTCTCGGGCAACTTGACGCCTTCCTGGGAAGAAGGGAGGAGACTCTTATCGAAGAAGACGGCAAGTAGGAGGAGAATCCCTCAATCCTCGAATCTTACTATTAGTCCTTTAAAGGTCCTAGATCCTAGGGCTTCAAATTGGGCTATGCAACTCTTTAGAATCCAGATTAGAATCCAGATTAGTATCCAGATTAGAATCCATCCATTTAAAGAACCTTCTCGCTTTCTTTGTTGTTTCAAGTCTAAATGTTGATAGTTAGACCTAGAGCTTGGCTCAAATTGAGCTTTACAAACATAATTAGCGCTTTAGAACCCTGTAGAGTAGAGCTATTCATTTTTGGTCTGATTGTACAACAGAAGAACGAGATTTGGCCACTTCAACAGCAACTTTTTCAGGAGTTTTTCAGACCAAAAGATAGAGCTTGGAAAACTCTAGCATTAAAATCCTGAGAAAGTAGATATTGAAGTGGTCAAATCTTGTTGTTCCGTTGTACACCTATTGACATTCAGATCGAAAATGAACAGCTCTACTGTAGAGTACTTTACTTACTACTCACTCTACTGTAGAGTGCTTTACTTATTTACTACTTTACTTTACTTAGCACAGTGAAGCCTTGGACTTCTAGAGGTGACTGTCAGGGGTGACTTCTAGTTCTAGTTTCTTCTAGTTTCTCAGTTTTAACTGAGAAATCTAGAAGTCACCCCTGACACTCTTAACTTCGGTCTTTCAACCTCTAAAACCTTCCCATTCTTGAGTTAAACCCTCAGCTTGGAAAGGGCAAAGTCAAGAGCTTGAAGTCACTTTTCAACTTGAAGAAAAGTCTTGAAGAAAACTTACAATAAGTCTTGAAGAAAAGTTGACTCTTTGATTTCTTATCTAGTTTTGAATCTCCAATATTAAATTATTAAGTTCCTAAAATATACTAAAATAACTATAGTGACTGTAAAAGATACTAAAAATCTCATCTTTCCTGGTTTCAAAGTTTTCCCCTTCACCCTGAGCCTCTTCTCGGTTGCCCAAGGGTGAGTGCCCAATTTGGTCGACATCCACACTTACCCGCACCTACTTTTTCCTATTCCTCCTCTTCCTGAGTCCCAAAAAGATATCGATTCCCTTTTCGATTCGTCATGTTTCTTCTCCTCTAATCCACATAATCTCCTCGGCCTTCTTCCTAAAAAAAAATTATTTCCCTTTGTCATTTCGACTTTTTCCCTATAGCCTCGAAATTTTTGAGGCTTCTAAAGCGCTTTTTTGTTGTTGCAAGATTATTTTGATGCTTTTTGAATCTAGCAAATCCGGTGCCATGTTTCGATTCTCTTTTGGGTGAATTTTGCTTTTTTTCAGGGGTTTCTCTAATCGGTAAATTTCCATATTCTGGCCAAAATTAAATTTGGGGCTTCCTTGGACTTGGTTGTTGTAGAATCATCATTTTTTTTGTTTGTTTACAAGTTTTGAGTCTAGTTTTATTCTTGAGCAAGACCAAGGATAGATCAGAAGTCAGGTACTTATCTAGTTACTTATCTTCTAACCTTCTAACCAAGCCTTTCCCAGGCTTGGATCTGGCTTCTTCCCGAGCTCTGAACTTGTCTTGCCTAGCCATGATTTACAGAATCTAGAACTCTGTTAGACATAGACGTTAGCAATGTTAGCAATGTTAGACACTGTTAGCAATTTTAACAATTAACAATAGCAAGTTTAACTCAAGTTTAACAAGTTAAACTCAAATTTAACAAGTTTATTCAACCATAAGCTCCATTTTGCTATTACAAACTTACTCCGTTTTTGCTTCTTTTTTCGATTTTGACTAGGAGACGGGGATTTCCGGCTAGTTTTGCCCCAGATTTCTATCGAAATGGGAACAACAACGAACAAGCAAAGGGGTATCAATGGGGCATTCAAAGAAAAGGGGAACAGAAAGGGGTGAACTTCTTTGAGGTCACAAATTCCTCTTTCCTTTGCTCAAAGAAAATGGAATCCGGGTGAATCGACAGCAATTTTCTCCTCAACCACCCGATCCTACTGAAAACTCTTTCCGGGGATCGACCGATGCATTTTCTCGAGAGGACTTTCTCCGGATCAGATAATTACCTTATTTTTCGGGAATTCTTTATGTAACTTGAGGGACATTCTGGGAATTAGAGATTGGCAATTGAGTAGAAAAGGATGGAAAGGGTGAGAAATTTGTGAAGACGATTTTAGCTTTAACTTTAGCTAACCATAGCTTTTTGGCTGTAGAATCTATGTAAGATCTAAATTTTGGATCAAGGTAAGATCTAGATTTAGATCTAGCTGAATCTTAATGTTTTGATAGTTTCACTAGTTCACTTGAGGTCTAGTTCCACTTGAGTATCAAAGTTAGGATGAATTTATTGAGAATAAAGTTTAGATTGGGACTTTTAACTAGACCTGGGGATTTTCGGTGTGAACGCAACGGAAAAATGGCATATCATGGCAAAAATCATGGCAATTTCATTCCGCGTCTTTTCATCGATTTAATTATCAATTGATTAGCAATTGATTAGCAATTGATTAGCAATTGATTAGCAATTGATTAGCAATTGATTAGCAATGTCAATTGATATCAATTGGTTAGCAATTGCTAATCAATTGTTTATCAATGTCAGTTGATATCAATTGACGCAGATTTGAATTCTATATCGATTGAAATCAAAGACAAAAAGATTGAGGTGAATTTGGCCAAGATATGGCATTTTCCATTGCACCTATTGATGTTCACACTGGGAGTTCCCAGATCTACTTTTAGCTAAGTCCAAAGTAAAACTTCAGCTTTTTAATCGCATTGTTTGCTTTACTTTACTTGCTATTACGATTTACTATCGACTTCACCGTTTCCCACAATTATCTCTGAATCCTATGTAATCTACAAAAAGAATGACCTTGCTCACTTGCCGACTTTTTACCGCTTTCGGAAAGTTTTCACACGAAGACAAGACTGAGAAAAGACTGAGAAAAGACTGAGAAAAGACTGAGACAAGACTGAGACAAGACTGAGACATGACTGAGAGCTTTTAGCACAACTCAAAAACTCAGGAAACTTTTTTTGAGAAGTGTCATGCACATTTGAGGACAGCTGTGGAAAGAGGCGGAGGGAAAAGGTCGCTCTTTATGTGGCAGCACAAAATGGGCGATCAATTTCGACGATTTCCAAGCCCCGAAGAAAAAAAAAGGGAGCAATTCACGAATCGTCGATGCAGAAAAGATTGAGGAGTTATTTTGTAAAGAGCCAGAAAGTTTTTGACAGGATGCAAGGTCATTTTAGCCCTGTCTCGGCTGAAGTACTTGAATTGGAGTCAATCTAGAACTTGACATGATTTTTGCAAAGTTTTGCAGGTGATCTTGAATCAAAACACAGCTAAAGAAATGTAGAAATGCTTAAGAAATGTAGAAATGTTGAGTAGGGTAGTTTTATTTTAGCTATGATCTACGGCTTGAGTAATTTTCGATTCCTGTCTATTCCACACCAGTCCTGTCGTCGTCATACTTTGATCGTCATCCTTGATCCATCCGAATTTCTAAGTTTTCCATAATTTTCATACATTTTTTGAATTGAGAAATCCGAATCGATCAAAGTCGACATGGCTAACGATATTTTGGGGTTGCGCCCGTTCGGACAGTCATCTCGGCGCACCGAAAGTTGCTAGCAATCTGCAACTTTTTCTATCAGAAAGCCAATATTATTAGCTTCATTTTGATATCAAAAATTCAGCAAAATTCTTTAAAATAGTACTCAAAAAATCACATTAAACCTTAAGATTAGGCCTTTAAAACCTTAAAAACCCTTAACGAGGCCTCGTTAAGTATCGATAACCTTTTTAGAGTACTTTTTGAAGATTTTTATTGAATTTTTAGTATCAAAATGAAGCTGATAATTTAGGCTTTCTGATAGAAAAAGTTTCAGATTGCTAGCAATTTTTCAATGCGTTAATATGACTGGTCAAACTTGAAGCTGAAGCCAGCCTAGTTCGGTCTCGTTAACAAGTTTAGATCAAAGTATGATTACGAGCAAAAAGAATTTTGGTGAATCAAAATCAGAAAACTCAAACAAAAATCAGAAATTCACAATTAGAAAACTAAAGGGTTTAGTTTAAAAGGGTTTAGTTTAATAGAGTTTAGTTGAAAAGGGTTTAGTTTAAAAGGGTTTAGTTTAAAAGGGTTTAGTTTAAAAGGGTTTAGTTTAATAGAGTTTAGTTCAAAAGGGTTTAGTTTAAAAGGGTTTAGTTTAATAGAGTTTAGTTTAATAGGGTTTAGTTTAAAAGGGTTTAGTTTAATAGAGTTTAGTTCAAAAGGGTTTAGTTTAAAAGGGTTTAGTTTAATAGAGTTTAGTTTAATAGAGTTTAGTTTAATAGGGTTTAGTTTAAAAGGGTTTAGTTTAATAGAGTTTAGTTTAATAGGGTTTAGTTTAATAGAGTTTAGTTTAATAGGGTTTAGTTTAATAGGGTTTAGTTTAATAGGGTTTAGTTTAATAGGGTTTAGTTTAAAAGTTTGAGTAAAACGTTTAAATCTTTGGTGCGTCTATGATTTTTGACGAGTATAGTACCAAAAAAATCGTCTAGACTGATCAAAGTCAATGTAAAAATCATATAATAACTCAAAAATCTCATCCCGAACCTCTTAACGATCGAGAAAAAAGAAAAATTGCTTGACAAGGGCAAAAAAATGGGAAGAGAAAGAACAGAGCTGAGAAAGAACTGAGCTGAGAAAACCCAGTGGACTGAGCGAGTGTAGATGAGGCGACGATAACTGCCGCGAAAGAATACGCGCAAGATTTGAGAATATGAACAGGCAAGGAAGAAGAGGCTTGGATCGACCGCCTGAACCGATAAGACCCCGAAGAACCACTCTCACCTATCCAAAGAAAAACCACCTCTACCCCTACCCGATTTCGATTTATTTTCTTGAATTCTTTAGAATAATATCCTGTTTTGAGAAATTTGGTGAAACCATGCTCTAGTTCAACTTCTTTTTAGTTGTTGAATGGATTTTTGAGGATCCATTCCACAATTCATTCCTTAGAAATCCTTTTTTTATCCATTTTTGTTCTAAAGATTGTTCTAAAGATTGTTCTAAAGATTCTAAAGATTCTAAAGATTGCTCTTTTTCATTCTTAACATCATTTAAACAATAATCTTTTGATATTCTTTTCATTCTTTAGAAAATTCTTTAGAAAACCTTTGGTTATCTATTTTTTGATAGATAATCAAAGGTATTTATCTAAAAATTGGCTATCTATTTTGATCTATTCAAAAAAAACCCGAAAATTGATCATTAACTTGCTTTTGACACTTCTGGATCGATTTTCTGAATACTTTTTGCATAGAATCTTACTTTTTGCATAGAATCTTACTTATTTTCAACAATTAGAAGTGTTAAAGACTCAATTCAACTTTTAAATCTTTAATTTTCTTCCTTATTCAAGAATTCTAAAGAATCTCAATTAGTACTTCATAAATTTTTCATAAAATTTTTGATCATCAGCTTACTTGTCGATCATCATCATTCTAAGAAAATCTCGTGATTCATAATTTCATAATTTCATTGTTTTTTGATCCTTCCGGGGTAGGCTAGCTTCCGCAATTTTTTCGCGCAACAGGATCATTTATGCCACTAGGTCTTTTGCGTAACTCGCCATAACTTTCTTCTAAGTGGACCAAAATCATAAAGATTGGTTCACTTAGAAGAAAGTTATGGTGAGTTACGCAAAAACCCAGTTGCGCAAGAAGATTTGGCCCAAAGTAACCATCCCGCCCGCTCCCCACCGCCTAAATTTGTTTTAACGAGTAACAAAAAAACAATCAGAGGCAAGGGTTAGAAACCAAGGATCTAAAAGAAAATTTGGGGGTGCCTACTTTGCGTCATAACGTACTTCTAAGTAGACCAAGGTTTATGATTTTGGTTTCATTTTGTTGGACTTATTGAGATCTACAAGATGACACCAAAATCATAAAGATTGACCCATCTAGAAAAAAGTTATGGCGAGTTGCGCCAACGATCCAGTTGCGCAAATGATCCTGTTGCGCGAAAAAAATTGCGGAAACTAGCCTACCCCATCATTCCAACTAAAAAACAATCTTTAAACAATAGAATTTGATATAGCATTCGTAGAAACACTAGAATTTGAAAGATTTTATCAAAGAATTTCATTTTTCAGCTGGCATGCAGCCATCAAACGGTGCCATGGTCGCCAATCAGGCTCAAGCTCTGCCTAAGCTCGATGAAAATAAAAAAGATGAGGTTTGAGAAGAGTTTTCGCTCAAAAGCTAAAGATTTCAATCAAAAGATTGAAAGGATTGTGAGGATTTATTAGGACTTTATTAGATAAAGACTTAAAAAAGGATTTTAGCAACCAGAATGTGACATGGTTCAACTACATATCCAACAACTCGCTCAACAACAATTAGCTGCACAAGCCGCCGCTCAAGCTCAAGCCGCCATTGGGCCACAAATGCCTGTTCAAGTAGGTTTTTCAATTGTTAATAGCTGGGATAGTTTAGCTGGAAAATTGTAGCTGGAATTTTGACCGAAGTCTAATTGACCAGTTGACCAGTTGACTTTGTGAAGCTTATTTGGTTAACTTCACAATTGAACACTTTTAGAGCGGAAGTGCCGGTGATCCATCCACATCCTCAGATCTAAATCAAGCTCCGAAACGACTTCACGTCTCGAATATCCCCTTCCGGTATCGGGATCCCGATTTGAGGGCAATGTTCGAGAAGTTTGGAACGGTCACCGATGTCGAGATCATTTTCAACGAACGAGGCAGCAAGGTAAGCAACAATTGATACGAAAATTTAACTCATTTAAAGTATGTAGCCAAAATTTGCCAGCAGTTAACCAAAGTTTAGCCGGTGAGTTAACAGTAATAATAAATTCTAGCAACAATATGCTGGTAATAGTAAATTCAAAGCCAATTGCTAATGCTAAAACTTCAGGGATTCGGTTTTGTGACAATGGAAAAAGCACCCGAGGCTGAGAAAGCACGACAAGAATTGCACGGATCATCGGTTGAGGGACGAAAAATTGAAGTGAACTGCGCCACAGCAAGGATCCATACAAAGAAGCCAAAGACAGGTAGAGTACTGACAATAATGACAGGCTATAGCTTACAAAATCCAATCCTGGTTCATTCCTTTATTTTCTAGAAGGATTCCCCGGTCTCTTGGATGCGTCACTGGCTGCGGCTGCACTGCAAGGAGCCGCTTTACAACAAGCAGCTGCCCGAAATGCTGTTTTGATGCAACCGTCGTTGGCTCAAGCGGCTCTGATGAGAGGATTGATGCCAGCAACTGCACTTCAAGCACAACAATTACAATTGTTGAATCCGTTAGCACAATTGGGTGCTGGACAGGTGCGTGAAGGACTGTAAGAAAATCATCAAGAGAATCAGGATTTTGGAGAGCTAGATCTAGAGCTAGAGCTAGAGCTAGAGCTAGATCTAGAGCTAGAGCTAGAACTAGAACTAGAGCTAAAGCTAGAGCTAAAGCTAGAGCTAAAGCTAGAGCTAAAGCTAGAGCTAAAGCTAGAGCTAAAGCTAGAGCTAAAGCTAGAGCTAAAGCTAGAGCTAAAGCTAGAGCTAAAGCTAGAGCTAAAGCTAGAGCTAAAGCTAGAGCTAAAGCTAGAGCTAAGCTAGAGCTAAAGCTAGAGCTAAAGCTAGAGCTAAAGCTAGAGCTAGATCTAGAGCTAACTTTAGTAGCTTCACTTTAAGAATCTACATGTTTTGAGTCTTTGAGCCAAAAAAAGCTAGACAATGGCCGTAGACAAGAGCTGTGTCACGGCGACAAAAACTGTGCGTCAGCTCAAAAACATCCAGCCAGAAAAACCAGAAAGAAAAGGCCGTTTTTGGCTAATTTTTAAATGATTAAGCTAAAAGATTAGCTAAAAAGGATCGATTTTAAACTACTTTATCTCAAATCCTCAAAGCTTATCGTTCATTTTCAGATGTTGTTAGCTGGTGGTGGTGCGTTCCAAGGAGCGGCTGCATTCGCCGATCATTCAGCTGCTCTCCTCTCCGAACAGACGCGATACCAAATCGCCGCGATCCAAGCCGCTCAACAAGGTACTTGAAAAGAAAGAAAAACGAGAAAGATCTCGAGAAAGATCTCGAGAAAATCGAGAAGGAACGGATAATTTTAAAAAAGAAATTGAGAAATCCCATTGATAACTAGTGACTCAAATGCATGCGCTGGCAAAAGATTCGAATTTTGGTTTTTAAAATAGGATTGGTTGAGCTTGGTCTCGTTTCAAATAGCTGAAAGCTATTTACATTCGAACAGAGCTTCAAACAGAGCTTCAAACGCAGCTTCAAACAGAGTTTCAAACAGAGCTTCAAACAGAGCTTCAAACAGACAAATACCAAAGGTATTTACATTCAAGAAAAGAATGCAGAACAAAACAAACAGAACAAAACAAGCATAACAAAACAAGCAGAACAAATTCAACCAAGTCAAGACAATGAGTGGCTTTTGAGGTTGAGGCAACCTTTTTTGGCAATTTGGCAATTTGGCAAGTCATTTTTTTGCACCCCCACCAAGAGCAAAAAGCTGATCACACTCTCGGCGTGTGCGCGTGTTTTTGCATGAGAATTTTTCTGGAAAAGCGGTACTCATTCAAATTTTCTGGCAACTTTGGCAATCTTTGGCAAGTGGCAATCAATACTTTCTGGCAAAAGTATCGATTTTATTTTTAAAATCTAGTTTTGAGTTTGTTTGAGTACGCTAGTACGACGATTTTGCAATTTTGGGAGAGCTGAATGCCCGAGAAACATGCAAATAAACGGCATGCGTTTTGCGGAAATTTATGATTTCATTTGCTGAGAGTTTCTTTTCTATGCAGCTAGGAGCCATAATGGAGTCAGAAATTTGTTTTTTTTTGATTGATTGATTGATTGGGAAGGAAAGGAATATCTTTTCTCTAGCCTCTTCGTTTTATCTGTTAGATTCATGATCAGATGATCGTCATCGGGAGGGGATTTTTCGAGGGAATGAGAGCAGATTTTTGTCTAGTAAATATTCTAGTAATTCAACTAGAGCTCCAACTAAGCTCTAGTTGAATATCTTTTAATTTTATGGGAAAATTAAAACTGATGGAGCAGCTAGGAAAGCTACAAAGCCCCGAGTGTCTAGTAAGTAATATTTAAGTAATAACAACAATCCTAACTTTACAATAGCTATGCAATTCAAAGCATTCAAAAGCTACAGTAACTTCAGGATACCATAACTTTCACTACTGAAGAACTATTGAAGCCACTGTAGCTTTGGAAAGTCATGAGCTGGATTGTGAAGCTAGAACTGTTGAAAACCATCCAGAGTCTTTGTTTTCAAGTTAGGATATGGATCCTGAAGGGGATCTGAGATTTTCTATAATCGAACTTTCTAAGTTTGTTGTAAATTTTACAGTAATATTAAGAGAGAGCTAGAGTATGACTAAGTAAAGCAAGCTAAGAAATAAAGCTAGAGCTAGAGCTAGATCTAGAGCTAGATCTAGAGCTAGATCTAGAGCTAGATCTAGAGCTAGATCTAGAGCTAGATCTAGAGCTAGAGCTAGAGCTGGAGCTAGCTAGAGCTAGAGCTAACTAGAGTAAGCTAGAGCTAGCTAGAGTAAGCTAGAGCTAGCTAGAGTAAGCTAGAGCTAGAGTATTAAGTTTTTAAGCTTATGAAAAGCTAAGCTAACATTTAACTAGAGCTAGCAAGACTTTCAGATCTGTAGTGTACTACAAAAGCAGTAAAGTCCAAGCATTTCTAGAAGTGTTGATCTATTTTCAATCTGTTTACCTAGTGACTCCATCAATATTCTTTCAATACCTAGTTTTCAAAATTCCCGATGACGGTGCATGTGTTCTTCCACGTCTTTAGCAAAACGCATGGGTGAAATGCCAAAGCTCTCTGTTTCAGCGGCGTCAGCAGCCCGTGCTCAGGCGACGACGATCCCGACGTCGCAATCACAACTCACCGACGCAGCCACACTGAATGCCGCCTATTTGGGACAAACATTCACCGGACCGCTACAGGGCCTACAAATTCCAATGGCTCGATTCAGACCCTATTAGAGAGATATGAAATACGAATTTTTGAGATGACAAACGATCAGAATATAGACGAAACTTGTTGGGAAGGAGTTGGTGAATTGGTTTTTGAAAAGAATCGAGTAAATTTTGAGTTTAACAAGGCAGCTGTTTGGCTTAATTTCTTGAAAAATTGCTTAATGGGAAAATGGGAAAATGTAAGATACTTTAACCGAGTAAAAGACAGGTTTAACTATGGTTAAGTTGAGCTAAAGTTATTGGCAATAGATTAAACAGCGCTTGCATATTGTTGTACTTTAAAGCCTGATCTGGTTGAGGTAACATTCATGAGCCAAAGCTTGGCAGTCTTGCACCGAAGCCTGGTAGTCTTGTACAGTTTTTACATTGTACATTTGTACATTGTACAGTGGAAGACGTTTCTGTACAATGTACAGAAATGTAAACGTATAGAAGTACTTTAGAAGTGCTCTAGAAGTGCTCTAGAAGTTCTTTAGAAGTACTTTTAAAGTACTGAAGTACTTTAGAAGTACTGAAGTACTTTAGAAGTGCTTTATAAGCCCTTTATAAGCACTTTAGAAGTACTTTCCTTTGAAAAGAAATCTACTGTACTTTGGCTAGCTCAAACTTGACTTATAGCTAACTTAGGCTTAAGTGATTGATTTCAGAAATCAAAAAAACCAAATCACCAATGCCTTCCCCAAAAAAATCGCATGTCACGCATTTTTCGGGGTCTCCACCGCTTCATTTTTTATCTCAAACAGCACAAGCGGTTATGATGTAATTTTCGAGAAATTTTGAACAACTCACCGATAATTCTTTTCAATATATAGTAATATATAGTGCGTGCGTTTTCCCCTAACCCGCAAGTCTCAAATATTCTCGTAAAATCTTTCGTTTTAAGCATCTCTAATCGTTAAAAGTGAAAAAAACAAATAAACAAACAAATAAAAACCAGTAAAAACCAGTAGATTTCATTATGGATCTTCTAATGATTGTTTCGTGTATAACGTTGTCATTTTTCGAGGAGATTTTTGGTGTTTTGGAGAGTGAGGGTTTTGGAGGAAAGTTTTGTTTCTAGGAAAAGCTGAAAAGCTATTTTTTTAAAAAAAGAAAATAACCAAATTCTAACTAGCAAATCAATTTGTATTTCTAGAAGTAAGCCTGAGCCTGAGCCTGAGCCTGAGCCTGAGCCTGAGCCAGAAAAGAATCAACAGAATTCCTGTTCGGATTCGCTTTAAGGAGGACTCAAATTTGCCTAAAAATGAGCTAAATAACTCTTTTTTACTAGTTAATCTCTTTTATTTAAAGAAAACAACACTTTAATTGGCTTTAGTATTCATTTATAAACGAAAATTTCAAAAAAAAGGGCTTAAGCAGGCTAAAGCAATAGATTCTTTTTGGCTAAAGGACTTTCTGGTTAAAGGAATAGATTCTTAACTTAATCTTTCTTCTTTTGAATCATTAGACAAGCTACATTATCTGTTTGGCTTTCCGGAAAAGCCAATAGTGTAAGTGAATGGCAAAAGCTAAGGCTCGAATCACTGTACTATAGCTGTAAGTCACTGTACTATAGCTGTAAGTCACTGTACTATAGCTGTCAGTCGCTGTAAGTCATACTATAGCTTATAGCATCTAGATCTTACAATTTCATCCACTAAATAACGGTAAAAGAACGCTAATCCTATCTAAGATACCCAGTGTCTTATCAAGGAAAGAACCCTAGTCCTATCAAGATACCTATCTCTAAACAAGTTGTATCTACTCATCAGTAAATAACTGTAAAAGAACGCTAGTCTAGAAGTCACTAGTCTAGAAGTCACTAGTCCTCCCAAACCCCATCTCCAAAGCCTTGCACATAAAGCTCGAGGTGTGCTTTTCATTGACCGTGTTTGTTTTCTCTTGGCTATTTTCGATTTCTTTTCGTTTTCCAGTTTTCCAGTTTTCCATTTGCTAATGTAATGTAATCAGGAATGAGTGCTATCATGTTTTTTTTTTCAGCTAATCCCTTTAAACCCAATTCAAACTCCCCATTTTCCGTGTGCAAACTCGCAATGAACTCTCTATGCAATCGGTCACAACTCAGACATCAAGCTTGAGATAGTTTAAGCGCAAATTTCAATTTAAAATGCAAATTCCAACTTTAAATGCAAATTCCAACTTTAAATGCAAATTTCCAGCTTGATGTAAACTGCTTTAGCGTTTTTTTTTGTTTGATTTCTCTGACACGGTTTCTCCGGAAATTTTGCAATCCTCTTACATATTGATGACACTTTTTTGGGCTTTACTTTACGTACAATTACAATAATCTTTTAGGATTACTGTACTTTTTTTTCATAATATTTTACGCATTTTCATTCACTAGGCCATTTCCCATTTTTTATTCTCGACGCAACACAAATCAATCACGACAAAATGGTGTTTCCCCCCCCCCATTTCTTCATCTAAAAAAACGAGTGCTTGATAATCTTTTGGCTTTAAGAAATTTTTCATTCTTGCAATGCAATGCAATGAAAGCATAATGTTTTAGAGATAGTAAAATATGATTTTTATTGAAGAATGGATGAGAGTTTGGTTTCAGTAACGAAAGTTTTGAAGTAAAAGTAAAAGTTAGAAGTAAAAGAGTTTAAGAGAAAGAACGAAGCACTGGCACTGATCCCTTTTCACTACCCTACTGAAATTCAGCTTACTTTAGAACACATTTGCATTTAAATATCCAATGCGATGCTCGTTAGATACTTTGAAAGTACGGTAAAAGATTCAAACGCTCGTTTTAACAAAGAAAAACTAGTTAGATTACCAATAAGATTAGTAAGATATCAGTAAGAAATAACGGTAAGATTCCACCTTGCCATTTGTCTAGAATTAGGCTCTTTACTAATACACTGATATACAATACACAGTAGAGATGGGAAAATTCCAATCCGGACCTAATTCCACCTTCGTTTTCTTAGCCAATTCTTGGCCGATTCTTGATCGATTCTAGGCCGATTCTTGATCGTTTCTTGATCGTTTCTTGATCGATTCTTGACCAATTCTTGGCCGTTTCTTGGTCAATTCTCAGCCAATTCTTAGCCGATTGGTTCTTGGCTGATACTTGGCCGATTCTTGGTCGATTCTCAGCCAATTCTTAGCCAATTCTTGGCTGATTCTTGGTCAATTGCTCTGAAAACTTGTTTACAAATAGAAATTGACATTCTCTGCTTGTAGACAAAATTTCAGAGCAATCGGCTAAGGAACGTCTCTGAAAACGAAGGTGGAATTAGGCTTGAATTGGAATTTTCTCATGTCGCACTGGACTTTTTAGCTACTGTATCCTCACCTAGTCTAGAAACGAATTTGCAGTGTCAATTGGATCAATTGAATAATTTGGAAATACGATAAAAGATCCAGTCACTAACTCTCGAAATCTAAGAGAAAAATTCCGTTATTGGCCCCTCATTTTCACTGCTGAAACCAAAAACTTTCCCATTCTGACATCCCGTTTTTTCGTCACATGTTCAATCTTTTTCTCTATCTTCTTCCCCATTTTCTTCTTCCCATTTTCTTCTTCCCATTTTCTTCTTTCTTTCGTTGTACGATATCCACACACATCGCGTTTTCTTCCCCCCTCAGTGGTGCTGTCTCTCTCTGCGTCTTTTACTGATTAATGATGTTCACTATCGTATTCATGAATGGTTCGAGATATTGAGCACAAGAACAAAGAAATAGCAATGAAAGACAAACAAAAGATAAAGAGGCTACGTCATCAGCTAGGAAGTACCCCGGTTTGGATAAGAAAAGATCCGAACAAGTCATTCCAGTCAAGTCATTCCAGTCATTCCAGTCAAGTCATTTATAAGTCAAGAACTTTTTGCTTGTTCTGTTGAAATGTTTTTGATTGGTTATTCGATTTTGCTGCTACCGTCAGTGATCGCCGTGCACAAGTGCTATATCAATCATTATTATGTTGAGGACGGGAAATCGGCCAGGGAAATGGTGCCCTCGAAGTGAGTTTAATCAAATGAAATGAAAGTTTAATCAATTCTACAGCATGTTCTCAAGATTTTCGTTGATTACAAGTACAATTTGATCTATCACAGTAGTCTAAAAGTATACCAGAATTGCTAGATTTCTTAAACAATTCAATTCTTGACAGTCTGCTACAAATGCCATTGGCATGACAGGAGATATAACATGGCTATCGTATTCATTTTAATAAAAGCTCAGCCTCCAATAGAAGCAAAGCCTTTAATAGAAGCAATAATTAGAGATAATAGACTTTAGACAGTCTAATACAGAGAAAAAGTTTGAGCAGCAAGAACTAGAGATATTCAGCTTAATAGACTGATATTCAGTTTTGAGTTTTGGGCCATGATATATAAGGCTAAGGCATTTCCTTGAGAAAAATAGCATTCTTTATCATTCTTTTCCATAAGCAGTGACAATTTTGATAAGCTTTTCTTGCAATTAGCTTATTTGAATCAAATTTATAACTTAGCCTAGATACCGTATTTTCTCTAATAGTAGTGCACCTAGCCGAGCCGAGTTGGTGGGGATTTTATGGTTTCCAAGCTTTTGCAGAAGCTCAACACCCTAATCCCCGAAAAGATCTCATCGTCAGCTACATTTTCCGATCCCACATCGATAGGTTCTGATAGGCACCTCTCGAGATTTCGCGCAATTTAGGCAACGCTTTGGGTGCACTACTATTAGAGAAAATACGGTATTGTAACCGTTTAAGCTTTGTTGATTCGACAGCACACCTAAAACTAATCGTTCTTTGGGCTAATTGACCTAAAAGCTAATTTTTATTAACCCGCTTGAAGTCAAATTCTTAGACATAAGCTTTGTTTTGCCAAGTATTGACCCAAATATCTAACTCTATTAATCTTAAAAAGTTAAAAAGCTTTTTCAGCAGAAGAGTTGCCTTTTTAATTGTCTCTGGAGAGCTTGTTTTAAAGCCTGAGTTGGTTTTGGAACTTGGCTTTGAATTTGGCTTTGAACTTGGCTTTGAACTTGGCTTTGAACTTGGCTTTGAAATCGACGAATCACTTTTGCAAGTGTTAACCAAATAGCTCTAATCAGTCAAAACTTAATTTGGAAATAGTTGCTGAATTACTGATGCCTATTTTACGGTTTCCAAGGTTTTGCAGAAGCTGAACACTCTAATCCCCACAAGATCTCATCGTCAGCTACATTCTCCGACCCCACATCGATAGGTTCTGATAAGCGGTTCTCGAGATTTCGAGCAATTAAGGCGACGCTCAGGGTGTATGACTATTAGAACTTTTTTTTCTTCTTCATTGCCGGTTTGCCGGCTTTTGTGATTTTTTGAGCCTGGGGTCAAGGGCGGCTCGGGCTTTTGCGCTTTTGTGGCTTTTTTGTTAGATATTTTTTTTTGTTTTTCGGTTGTTCAGCCTTTCTTTTTTTTTTTTTTGCCCTTTTTTCTTTCTTTTGTTGTGGTCCTTTTTTTTTGGGTCCTTTTTTAGAGCCACCTGGTTTTTGTTGACTTTTTTTTTTTAGGTGGAGTTTTGCCCCTGGAAAATACGGTATTTAAATCTCGTCGAGCTTTAGATAATTTATGCCAACCTCTTACAATTTGAAAGATTTTGAATTTTAATTATTTTAGTATTCAATCCTTTAGCAAAAAATCTTTCTTGCTTATTGTTAATTTTTTCTTAGATTCTTGCATAAACTACTTAAAAATCATTGCTAAAGTTCATTATTGCTTAATCAGTAGCTTTTCTTGCATGAACTTCGATAGTGATATTGAATTTGACGACTCTAACAGTAATCAAATCGAGAATCATGCTTTTAAAGGCTCCTTTTAAAGATATTTAGCCGTTTAATTGATTTGGTGGCAAATTTTCTGCAAATATCAAGATATTCAAGTTACTCGAGGTGTAAAGAGGATCACTCGTAGTTGCTTGATCGAAAATGTCGATTAATCGAGTAAAAGTCACTCATACTAATTTTACTCATGCATATAAGTTTTACTTACTCGCGGGGAACACACTCTAGTCTTTATTCTGATATTTTGTCAGATTCAGAGTGCAAGTTTAGACTCAACTTTGTAGTGTCACAGATTTCTGGCTGTGCTTCTACTGGAGGCTATGCTTCTATTGGAGACTGAGCTTCTACTGGAGGCTATGCTTCTATTGGAGACTGAGCTTCTATTGGAGGCTGTGCTTCTACTGGAGGCTGTGCTTCTATTGGAGGCTGTGCTTCTATTGGAGGCTGTGCTTCTATTGGAGGCTGTGCTTCTATTGGAGGCTGTGCTTCTATTGAAGGCTATGCTTCTACTGGAGGCTGTGCTTCTACTGGAGGCTGTGCTTCTACTGGAGGCTGCTGATTTGTCGAGATTAAGCAAAAACTATAAGAAATCTGTACTGGAATCTGTACTTGTACTGAAAAAAAAGCTTGAGATGTACATTTATCTCAACAACCTTTTCATTTTCTTTCCGATCACTAGAAGCAACCGAAAATTTAAGAACTTTTGCTAATAAAGAGAAGAAAGAAAGAAAAAGAAGAAAAGAAAAAGAAAAAAGAAAAAGAAAAAGGAAAAAGAAAATTTGGCATAAAAGAAAAATATTCTATAATTAAATGAAAGCATTTTCAATTTAGATGCGACACAAACCAGTTTTGTGTTTACGTGAAATACGGTGATTCGAATCCAAAACGAAAGCAGGGATGGGCTCAAGGATGTGACAAAACTGATTGCAAAGAATCTGAGAATCCGGATTGCGTTGTGTGGCAACCGGTGAAAGGAAATCCCAACTATAAGTGCCGAAAACACAACGATTACGGTAACGAGGGTAGCGTTTGTTGTTGTAAAGGAGCTTTGTGCAATCGACCACCACCCGATTCAGCCACCACGTCAAGCTTCCTATTTTCTTGTGCGCTCGTTTTGATGATTGTTTTGAGTGGGGATCGATAGTGCTTTTATTTCTTTTATTTCTTACGAATTCACAATTTTGTAAGTAATCTTTCTAGCAAAATCAATTTCATACAATTAATTAACGTTTCTTTCGGCGTAACAAAATTCATTTTCTTCTTTGATCTGCTTTTTGTGTACCTTTGTGCAAACGAATTAACTAGGGAAAGGCAACAGGCCAAGATGGCTTTTTTGATGCGTACCCAATGCATTTAATAGAGCTTTCAATGGGGGATTCCGAATCCGCTATTAGTTTTTCTAATGGAGCTCTGTACCAAAAGATATCTGGGATCAAAGTTTAAAACGCGACAGTATTTCAGCCCAACTTTGCTAGATGGTAGCAGCTGGTCTAGATGGTCTAGATGGTCCAGATGGTCTAGATGGTCTAGATGGTCTAGATGGTCTAGATGGTCTAGAGGGTCTAGAGGGTCTAGAGGGTCTAAATGAACTAGATGGTCTAGATGGTCCAGGTGGTCTAGATGGTCCAGATGGTCTAGATGGTCTAGAGGTAAGTCAATGGCATTCAGCTAGAACAATCCTGATTCGGTTCCCGCGCTCAAACTGTTTTTGCGAAGAGCGGGCTCAGAATCCACATTCAAAGCTCTATCAAATTGATAGAAAAACCGGGAACCAAACCAGGATTGTTCTAGCTGAATTCCATTGACTTACCTCTAGACCATCTAGACCACCTGGACCATCTAGACCATCTAGACCATCTGGACCATCTAGACCATCTAGACCATCTAGCAGTATTGGGCTGAAATACTGTCGGGTCTTCAAATTTGATGCTAGATATCTTGTGATACAGAGCTCCATTAGAAAAACTAATAGCGGATTCGGAATCCCCATTCAAAGCTCTATCAAATACACTGGGTACGCATCAAAAAAGCCATCTTGGCCCGTTGCCTTTCCCTAGTAAGGAGCTTGCTTTCATTTTCTACCATTTTCTACCAATTTCTGCCATTTTCTACCAATTTCTACCATTTTTGCATCCTTTCAGTTGATCAATTTCCTCGTATTTTTGCTTGAACTCAAATTCAAACTCCTGAAATGAGTCTTTCTTTTGTAAAATTGTTGCCCATTTCTTTTATCATCACCTCACGAGTAGTAAGAAATTGTTGCCACTTTTCAGTTTTGTTCCACTTTTTCGTCAAACTTTTATCTATTTTCTGCAAACTTGCTGATATGTCTTGATAAAAATTGAATTTTGGTGAAAAGGTAAGCTCACTTCAAGAAATGCAATCAGAGATACAATCGAAAACCAGAAAAAGCAGGCGGGTTATGAGCTTGGTCTATTGGGTTGGTGAATTGAAAACTACGGGACTTTGAACTAAAATTTATTCAACATAAAACCATCAATTCATTTCAAATAATTTCCATTATTATTGACGACTTCTGCCCATTTTACAGGCAATTTGCGGATTCCTCTTTCCTAGTAGGATTTTGGTTTGTGTGTGAGACAAGTATGAGACTCAAAAATCGAGGACTGGAGATGTCCCAGTTTGAGCACTTTCTTCAAAAGAAACCCATTTTGGTGTCAATGGAAAAGTTGTAGAGAATCAAAAATTAGGCTTATAGCCGAATTTCCAAAAAGATACACTTAGTAGTTTGGCTTAAAATGCAAGTTTTGTTGCAAGTTTTGTGAAAATTCGTAACTTTGGCATTTCTTGAAAACCAGTTTTTGAATCGTTCTAAAAATTTGGATATAAGCTTAATTTTTGATTCTCTACAACTTTTCCATTGACGCCAAAAAGGGTTTCTTTTGAAGAAAGTACTCAAACTGTGACATATGACAATAGCCCGCAGTTTTCAATTCACCAATCCAATAGAACCAAGCGATCCAATCTAGTAAAGTGGATCATTCAAAAAAAATCTAAGCCTCTTGAGTACATTTCCCCCTTTTTCTGATGGATTCTATCTAGATATTCTATATCTAAATATCTAATATCTAATTCTATCTGGATATTCTATTCGAATTTAGATATTGGATAAGGCTTCATTGTGGTTATGAAATAAGGTATGGGATTTTAGCGAAAGAATTTTCTTTTGGTGTTTCAATTTTCTTTAGCCTGTAGTTTTCAATTCACCAACCAAATATTAGTGTTTACACTCATGAGTTATCAGGAGTTTATTAGGAGAGAAACGAAAAAGACTACAGCAACACGGTACTACGAACCAATAATATAAACAGTATGAAGCAGTAAAATAATATAACTTTATAAAAGGATTCATTCTAAGAACTATTCTAAGAAGCAGAAGCAGATTCTTGTCAAAACATTCTGATTTAACTTTTGCTTTCAAGACTGTTTCATGGACTCTTGATTTAGCTGGAAAACGAAAAAGTTCTGAATGTTTGATATTGGTTTCAATATAGTACTGATTTGGTTCCAATAAAATACAGCTTTGGTTTAAAACTCTCAAAGAAAAACTCAACTTTAAACTCAACTATAAAACGAAAAAGAGTCTTTCTTTTGTAAGAATTGTCTGACTTTTTACCGGTTCACGAGTACCACATTTTGTGCCCAATTTTTCGCGAATCTTTCCTATCAAACTGGTTTCTGTGAACTTGCCAATCTTTGTTTCCTTTCTTTGTCATAAAAGATTCTCTACTTTCATCATACTTGGTGGTTATGGGCGTCCAAAAAAGTCTAAAAATAGAGACAACACAAAGAATTCATGAAAAACGCTGAAAATTCACAGCTTTCGACATGTTAGAAAAAGTGAAAACGGCTGGAGAGTTCAAAATAGACAAATCACTTCGGAGAGATAAGCAAAATGGAAAACCAAAAAGAGGCAGAGCATGAGAAAAGTAGGGTAAGCCTTTGATCACTTTAAGATGACTTGAGCTTTGTCATTGATCAATTGATTCCAAATGTCAATTGATAACCAGGGTTGTTCACAGGCATTCTTTAAACAGGCAAGGCCAGGCAAGGCCAGGCAAGGCCAGGCAAGGCCAGGCAAGGCCAGGCAAGGCCAGGCAAGGCCAGGCAAGGCCAGGCAAGCTTTGGCTCCGCTCAAATTGAGTTAACCGTTTGATGTTTGGCCAATAGATATATCAATACAAGATTTTTTAAAATATAACAATTTCAGAGCATCTTTTCTTTTCTTTTCTTTTCTGAGCGGTTATTTTACACCATAAAACTTGAGGAATAGCTAAGCTGAAATGGGTTTTTTTCGAAAACGACCTCTCCCATTGTGCAGTCAATTTCCCAAAAAGTTGAATGAATTCAAAATTTTTTTATTCCAAAATGTAGAGGAGATCTTCAGCTTTCGAATGATATATAACACTCATATACATCTGTTCAATATCTTGAGAGATTTACAAAATAGTAAAAACGCGCATTCATAACTGGACAACCCAATAAAATTGCAAAGTTTTTGACAAGAAGCTTGTTGACAGCTTGTTTTTGTAAAGTAAATTCCGTCTATTCTTTTTCTCTATTCTGAAGTCTATTCTAAAGAAAATCATCTTTATTCACCCGTACTCAAACTTTTGAAAATGCAAAATAAACACAATAAATCACTTGGTGAGATCGTCAAAAATGGCTAACCGGTTTGCGAATTCGATGATTTGTATGTGAGATCAAATGGACACGTTTAAAATGATTGGAAAAGGAAAAAGAAAAGATTTTTGAATAAATACAATCATTCATCGTCTCGCGATTCGATTCGAGTCACCGTTTTTGGTCCCGATGAGAGAATGGCATGCCTTGTGTGCGCAGTCGTCTCATAGATACTCGTCGAGAGGTAAAACGCGTTGCACGCGAATTGCGAGAAGTAGAGCACTTGGGTGATCGCTAGAAATCGGCTTTGCTTGATTGTCGGTTTTGTAGGAGAGAATTTAGCCGTCATAGTCTCTTTAGGCAATATTGTGCGCTTGACGATTATTGCCTTCTTAAAATTAGACTTCAATAGTCTTCAATAGACTTTTACTATTCTAGTAAAGCATTTCACCCAGCTCAGCTTGTGCTTTATGGTGGTTTTTTAAAAAGTGAGCTTAGAAAAGCTACCTTACTCTTCAAGATAAAATACTTCTTTAGATACCGTAAACTACTGTACTCCTTTAAATACCGTACTCTTCGAGCTACAGCAAGCTACAATACTCTTCAGGCCACCGTAAGCTACAGTACTCTTCAGGCTATCGTAAACTACCCTACTCTTCGAGCTACAGCAAGCCACTGTACTGTTCAGGTTTCCGTAAAGTACCGTACTCTTCGAGCTACAGCAAGCTACAGTACTGCTTAGGCTGCCGTAAGCTACCATATTCTTCAGGCTACCGTAACCTACCGCACTCTTCGAGCTACAGCAAGCCACAGTACTGTTCAGGCTTCCGTAAGCTACCGTACTCTTCAGGCTACCGTAAGCTACCGTACTCTTCAGGCCACCGTAAGCTACAGTACTCTTCAGGCTACCGTAAGCCACCGTACTCTTTGCAACGTAAACTACCGCAATTCTTTAGATCGTTAAACAACTAGCCTTGAACAAAGGTACTTCTTAAGATCCCGTAAGCTACCGTAAAGCTACCGCACTCCTTAAAATATCACAAGCTACCGTGCTCCTTAAGATATCGTTAACTACCGTAGTCCTTGAGCTACCGTTGGCTACAGTAAGCTACCATATTCTTTTAGAATGTTGGACAATTTCAAAAGGATCCTAATTTCGGTATTTTTATGAATCAACAGTTTTCAACAACTCAATCAATTCGTTTGCTGTCAATGACAAAAAAGACTTACATTCAATATATTTGGAGAACTCTGACTCGACTTGTTGTTCTTGCAGATCCCCATCCATTAGCGTCAACCACGTTCGGTGGATATGATGAGGCAAATTGCAAAGGAGATTCAAAGCCGAGATCGTGATCGACCGCATGATCATTGCTTGTCGTCGTTTTTGATACAATTGACGCTTTTTCGTCATTTGCTATAAGGAAACATGTTTAAGATTTGCGGGGATTTAAGAGCTCACTTGGCCGGCGCATTGAGCCATCGAGACGACCAAAGCCATGTTGGCGCCACTGTTCAAGAAGTCGTTTTCAGTTGTCGACATTCTGAAGGTGCTTTTGAGAAGGGTATGATTCAAGGAAAATATTGGTAAGTGAGGTTTAACTTGAGAAATTATCAGAACTTAATGCTCCTTAGAGAATCTTATAGCTCTAGTTTGATCCATAATTGTTATCCAGGTCAATTGTGAGCTTATTTGGGGTCAATATTGCGCTTATTTGTGGTCTGGAATAGAGCCGTTCGTTTTCGGTCTGATTGTTAATAGGTGTACAACGGAACAACGAGATTTAACCACTTCAATGGCTACTTTTTTTAGGGTTTTTTGCTAGGAAGATAGATTAGGAAGGTAGAATTTTCCAAGCTCTATCTTTTGATCTAAAAATCCATGAAAAAGTTGCTGTTGAAGTGGTCAAATCTCGTTTCTCGTTGTACACCTATTGACAATCAGACCGAAAACGAACGGCTAAGGGTTGATGATGCGTTTTAATGAATAGCTCTAGTCTGAAAGTCTATCAGCTAGCCTTTGTTGCTAATTTAGGCGTTTTTTTGCGGAAATCGAGTGATTTGTTGCTAAATTAAAGGTTTTGTGGCTGATTCAAGTGATTTGTTGACATTTTACATTAAAAAGTGAGGCTTTTTTCGCGCGCTAAACCACTGATTCAATTTCATTTTTGTTGAAATCGAGTGATTTGTTGCTAATTTACGTGTTTTGTGGCTGATTCAAGTGATTTGTTGACATTTTACATTGAAATGCCAAGATAAGGGACTGTTTAGGCCATTTGTTGCTAATTTAAGCGTTTTTTCGCGCAAATCGAGTGATTTGTTGCTAAATTAAAGGTTTTGTGGCTGATTCAAGTGATTTGTTGACATTTTACATTAAAAAGTGAGGCTTTTTTCGCGCGCCAAACCACTGATTCAATTTCATTCAATTTCATTGAATCAGTGATGGGGAACCACAGGGGTTTTTCCACTATATTTCCAGTGTCCAAAAATTTTTTCATTTCTTCTCATACTTCCCTTGGGAAATAACAAAATCATCAATTAACCTATGCTTTACTGTAAATAAAAAGTGGTTATTGTTCAATTACCATCTTTTTAAGTCAATCTTTGAGTTTACTCTCAAGCAAATTCGAGAGTGAACGTGTTTTCGAGAGTAACCAAAACTTGTTTTTCATAAAAATCTATAAAAACCTCTACAAAGAAAGTGGCTGAGCCTATTTCTATGAAAATTTGGCTACATATCTAACCTTTTGTGCTCTATCTATTATCTATAGACACTAAGATAGATTTCATTAGCTAAAAGGTGTCTAAACCGCATCATCGACCCTCATCGATCATCGAGTCGCATCATCGAACATCGAAGTCAAAGAGGCGGTTCGATAATGCGTTTTAGACACACTTTAGCTAAGGAAACCTATCTTAGTGTCTATAGATGATAGATAGAGCACAAAAAGTTAAATATGTAGTCAAATTTTCATAGAAATAGCCTCAGCCAATTTCTTTGTAGAGGTTTTTATAGATTTTGCTCTGGATTCTTTGGGAAAGTGAAGGAATTTTAAACCCGTTTTAATGTTATTTTGCAGAAAAATAATCAGCCTTTCTAATAAAACAAACCGTAATTCAATTGGTGCATTTGTTGGTTTTAAACGAAAGTTCAAAAAGGAACAAAAAGACTGCTGGACAGCCTAATATTAGAGAACTTCTAAATATCACATTTCGATATTAGAGAACTTCTATTAGGAAACTTCTATTAGAGAACTAATATTAGAGAATTTCTACTAGAGAACTTCTATTAGAGAACTTCTATTAGAGAACTTCTATTAGAGAACTTCTATTAGAGAACTTGCTAATATTAGAGAACCTTAATCTCACATTTAACATTAAACCCACCTTCTTTCCATGCTAGGCAACGAAATGGCGTATCGCCTCTCGTAGAGTGATGGTGGCTCATCGATTGTTCCATATGGTGAATAGCAATGAAAGAGCACGATTCCATCAAAAAAGATTCGCAACATGGCAGGCACTGCGTAGAACATGCAAATGTCCATTAGGTGAGCCATCTAAAGCGAATTAATTCAAAATTTTCATGCAAAAATCCTCTTTGGAAGTAAAGTAAAAAAGTAGTGCCGAAATTGCTCAAATTGCCTAAATCACCTTGATTGTGTGCTGATCGATACTCGGATTCTCTGCACACATCGCTGGACCCTTGTTGTCCGACGGAAAATAGACAACCACCAGCAAAATCCAGGACTCGCATAATGAACAAACAACGACCAATAATCTGAAAAATAGTTGACTTTATAATTCAGCTAACTTACTTTTGACTTTATCTATCTAACTATCTATCTATCTATTGGGTTGGTGAATTGAAAACTACGGGACTTTGAGCTAAAATTTATTCAACATAAAACCATCAATTCATTTCAAATAATTTGCATTATCATTGACGACTTCTGCCCATTTTAAACGCAATTTGCGGATTCCTCTTTCGTAGTAGGATTTTGGTTTGTGTGTGAGACAAGTGTGAGACTCAAAAATCGAGGACTGGAGATGTCCCAGTTTGAGCACTTTCTTGAAAAGAAACCCATTTTGGTGTCAATGGAAAAGTTGTAGAGAATCAAAAATTAGGCTTATAGCCAAATTTCCAAAAAGATACACTTAGTAGTTTCGTTTAAAATGCAAGTTTTGTGAAAATTCGTAAATTTCGCATTTCCTGAAAACCAGTTTTTGAATCGTTCTGAAAATTTGGATATAAGCTTCATTTTTGATTCTCTACAACTTTTCTATTGACACCAAAATGGGTTTCTTTTGAAGAAAGTGTTTAAACTGTCAAATATGACAATAGCCGGTGGTTTTCAAGTCACCAATCCAATATCTATCTATCTACCTATCTATCTACCTATCTATCTACCTATCTATCTATCTATCTATCTATCGATCTATCTATCTATCTATCTATCTATCTATCTATCTATCTATCTATCTACCTATCTATCTATCTATCTATCTATCTATCTATCTATCTATCTATCTACCTATCTATCTACCTATCTATCTATCTATCTATCTATCTATCTATCTACCTATCTATCTATCTATCGATCTATCTATCTATCTATCTATCGATCTATCTATCTATCTATCTATCTATCTATCTATCTATCTATCTATCTATCTATCTATCTATCTATCTACCTATCTATCTATCTATCTATCTATCTATCGATCTATCTATCTATCTATCTATCTATCTATCTATCTATCTATCTATCTATCTATCTATCGATCTATCTATCTATCTATCTATCGATCTATCTATCTATCTATCTATCTATCTATCTATCTATCCTATCTATCTATCTATCTACCTATCTATCTATCTATCTATCTATCTATCTATCTATCTATCTACCTATCTATCTATCTATCTATCTATCTATCTATCTATCTATCTATCTACCTATCTATCTATCTATCTATCTATCTATCTATCTATCTATCTATCTACCTATCTATCTATCTATCTATCTATCGATCTATCTATCTATCTATCTATCGATCTATCTATCTATCTATCTATCTATCTATCTATCTATCTATCTATCTATCTATCTATCTATCTATCTATCTATCTATCTATCTATCTATCTATCTATCTATCTATCTATCTATCTATCGATATATCTATCTATCTACCTATCTATCTATCTATCTAGCTCTCTTACTTTAAAGCATCTCTGGGCTGTCTCCAAATGGTTCGATATTTCAACGGATGAAATACTGCAGTGTATCGAAGAATCGACAGAACGAGCCACGACCAAACGGAGAAAGCCGATGTGGTGTGCATCAAAAAAATGTTGGCCTAGAGTGCGCTGTTATGGTTTTTTACTTTGAAATTTTGCCTACTTTGCAGAAAAATGTGAACACGAGCACTCGATTTGCTTTTTGATCGGCATCCGAGATTGCGCGAACGATCCACCAATGGAAAACCACCTGAAAACTGTGTTGAATGTTGTGTAAGTCTTTGAGTGATTTTAAACTTTCACAGATCATTGAACAAACTGTAATCAATGATTTAAACACTATTGACTCTCTAAAATAGCGTTGTTTGGGTGTTGGTGTTGTTAGGTATTGAAGAAACTGGTGGAACAAACTGTTGGTGTTGTTAGGTATTGTTTTGACCAGAGCCAATTTTGACCAGACAAGAGAGGGACAGGGTCGGATTAAATTGCAGCTCATTTAGCTTGGCTTAGTTGGCCTGGTTTGCAGTAGTCAAAAAAGTTTATGGACATCAGTCAGGAAACAGTCTGGTCTGGCTTGACCTGGCAAAAGCCCTAGAGTAAGGCATAAGGCCTTACTCTGACTCATTCCCATAGCATTACCCTGACTGCAATGGGATATGTGTCGATATAGCTCAGCTAAAGCGTTCGCCCGGTAAGCGAGAGGTCGCGGGTTCGATTCCGGCGCCGATCATGTTTTGCATTCCCAACCCAAACCCACAAAGGACCTAGAACAAAAACTCTAGAATCCGATTGGAAGATCCCTGCTTCTTCTTTGAAAAGGAAAAGGTTTAAAGCGTTTTGATCATTGTCAGGGCAAAAAATTACCGTAAATACTGTAATTGAAGCCACTCTGGAGGCGAAGGGAAGAAATAGAAACCCCGGAGCTTCAAGGACAGTATTACAGTATTCACGGTAAGTTTGGAAGATTTAGTTCACTGACTGAAAAAATAGAATCCTCCTCTGGAGGGAAGGAAAGAAATAGAGGTCCCCTCGAATAGAAGCTCTTTAATAAAAGTCCCCTCTGGAGGCGGAGGGAAGAAATAGAAACCCCGGGGCTTCAAGGACAGTATTCACGGTAATTTTGGAAGATTTAGTTCACTGACTGGCTTTTTTATTGTTCTGCAAACCTGTGAAAACTCTGCTAGCAGACAAACTGAGTCCGACACTGACATGGCACATAGGGGAAGGGCTGAGGTGGTCTCAAAGCGAACGGCGTTTGCTCTGTAAATTGAGAATTTATTAGTAACCAAGTCATAAAGTAACCAAGTCAAGTTTTTTAGTAACCAAGTCATAAGCACCGTAATAGTTCTAGAAGAAGCACTAGAAATTCTAGTAGAAGCACTAGAAATTCTAGTAGAAGCATATGTGCTTCTGTTTTTCAATCTCTGGAAATCGGTCGACCCAAAAAAGTAGGTAAGGGGGGACTAAATGAATCAAGAATTTCAAATTTCTTAAAAACTATGCTAATCGATAGAGCTAGTGTACAAAAAACATGTTCTCAGATCAAAGTTTTTCCTGTGATCCCTATATAGATCTTTGATCATCAGGGTCTTTGATCACAAGGGGATCTAAAGTCAACATTTCGAGAGGTTTGAATTGTTGCTTCTATTAAAGACTATGCTTCTATTAAAGACTATGCTTCTATGAAAGACTGTGCTTCTATGAAAGACTGTGCTTCTATGAAAGACTGTGCTTCTATTAAAGACTGTGATTCTATTAAAGACTGTGATTCTATTAAAGACTGTGATTCTATTAAAGACTGTGATTCTATTAAAGACTGTGATTCTATTAAAGACTGTGCTTCTATCAGAATCATTACGGAAAATATGTTTAGCTTTTCTCATCTCACCTGGCTACACGAATCAATCTAGCGAAAACGTAGAAATTTAGGGCGACACCGAGTATTGGCACGACGAGGTAGATGACGATGAACGACAGGTTCATCACTTCATCGACGTTTCCACGCTGAAATCAAATTAATAACTCTAAGTAGATACAGTACATTCAAGTACATCAATCCTATTCAAACAGAGAATTTAATCATTTCACTAATCAATACTCAAAAAAAAGTGTAAAAATTGATTAAATGTAAAACTCGACCATCTTTAGTCAGAGTCAAGCCGCTAAAACTCACGCTGGTCACCAAATTGTTAATAATCAATAGAAATTTTTGATAGATTGTGATGAAACCCTTCATCATTTGGCAGCGATTAGTCAGTGGCTAAGTTTCTTTTCTTTTTTGAGGCGACTCTTTTTTTCTATAAAGTTAGCCCATAAATATGAATGATGGGAATAATTCGTGACCTGAGAAGGGGCAAGTCTGAAAGAAATATTGGAAAAAGTGAGAGGAAAAACTGGGGGGAAGAAGCTTGACTAACAAGGAAGTGACAAAAATACGAAAGTCGGGGTTATTGTTGGGGAAGTTAGGTACAAAGGAACGGAGTTGCATAAGTGAGTCAGAATGTTGAAGGATACGTAAATAACAAGAATTGAAAAATAAGATTTTATCTATCAAGAAGCAGCACTAAGAAGCAGCACTAAGAAGCAGCACCAAAGAAGCAGCACTAAAGAAGAAGCAGCACTAAGAAGCAGCACCAAAGAAGCAGCACTAAAGAAGAAGCAGCACTAAGAAGCAGCACCAAAGAAGCAGCACTAAAGAAGAAGCAGCACTAAGAAGCAGCACCAAAGAAGCAGCACTAAAGAAGAAGCAGCACTAAGAAGCAGCACCAAAGAAGCAGCACTAAAGAAGAAGCAGCACTAAGAAGCAGCACTAAAGAAGAAGCAGTACCAAAGAAGAAGCACTAAAGAAGAAGCAGCACTAAGAAGCAGCACTAAGAAGCAGCACCAAAGAAGAAGCAGTACCAAAGAAGAAGCACTAAAGAAGAAGCAGCACTAAGAAGCAGCACCAAAGAAGAAGCAGTACCAAAGAAGAAGCACTAAAGAAGAAGTAGCACTAAGAAGCAGCACCAAAGAAGAAGCAGTACCAAAGAAGAAGCAGCACCAAAGAAGAAGCAGTACCAAAGAAGAAGCAGCACTAAAGAAGAAGCAGCACTAAGAAGCAGCACTAAGAAGCAGCACTAAAGAAGAAGCAGCACTAAGAAGCAGCACTAAGAAGCAGCACTAAAGAAGAAGCAGCACTAAGAAGCAGCACTAAGAAGCAGCACTAAAGAAGAAGCAGCACTAAGAAGCAGCACTAAAGAAGACGCAACACTAAAAAGCAGCACTAAGAAGAAGCAGCACTAACTGTGTATAAAAATACATTTACTGTCACGAAGAATGTGGCACAAACAATACACAAGCACTAGGAATGCTTTCGGATTTTCGGGCCAAGATTAACGGATTAACGGATTAGAGCCAAGATTAACGTTTTCTAGGGCAGTTTTCTGCGCTGATTCCGAATATCTAGTTCGTTTGAGTGCTAAAGTGCTAAAATCTTGAGATATTTGGACTTAAATTTTAACAGAATTTCAATCCAGCACCCCTAAACCACTTTTAAGAGGGCGCTGACTTCCCAAAAACTTACATCTGAAGTGAATTAACTATTGGGTTGGGGAGAATGAGTCGGCGCCCAACTTTAAAGGGACTTTTTGCACACATAAAGCCTTCTTTAAACATACGTTTGGTTTCATCAAAAGGATCCACTATTTCTCTACAAAATCACTTTTGAGAGATTCCACAAAGCTTTTCTTTCGTGGAGTTTATGAACTTCCAAACGCAGCTGGTTAAAATGGCAAAGAGTCCGACTCATCATTTGAACAGTTTCTTTCACATAAACCTTCTTTGGTGTTTATATAAAAAAGATAGAGCACATTCAATTACTTAAGTTGCCAAATTTGCAGGAAGATCCCACCAATGGTTTTTTCTAGATCACAGTTTGTAGTTTTTGTGAAAAAATGGCTTTTTCTTGAGCGGAGGCGCTGTTTGAATTTTCTTTTAAATGTCATTTTGTAGAGAATTAGTTAACCATTCTACTGATATCAAACGCATATTATTTGACGAAGGCTGCTAGAAGTTTTAGACATTTTTTTGATTTTCGGCGCCGACTCATTCTCCCCAACCCAATAGTATTCTGATGCAATTAGTACTAATGTGAACTTCATGTCCAAATATCTCAAGATTTTAGCATCTTCATCCCAAAACGATCTAGAAATTCGGAATCAGCGCAAAAAAGTGTTCTAGAAAAAGTTTGTCCCAACCCGAAAATCAAAAAATTCGAGCCAATAATCTAGCCGGCGGGATTGAACCCTTGACTAAGATATAAGGCTCTCGACTGAGATACAAGACTGAGATATCTTAGCCAATCGGTCATGGCAATGGCAATGGCTACATGGTCAAGACAGGCTCAAAATTGTGCGGAACGTGAATCAACTTGTGAAGAACAAAGATAGGATATATAATTGTCAAATTGCTCAAATAAAACTCAAATAAAACTTTTCAAGAGGTTTCGACTGATTTGCAATCTTCGATCGCTGCAAAAATTCGTCTTTTGATCTTGCTAAAGCTACTTTAAAACTTCGTTACAAGATCCTTAACATTTTCAAAAAGTTGAACCCAATTTTCTCGACTTCCTGATTCATTTTTGAGACATCCAGGGACATCCAGGCACTTGAAGAAAAGGAAAAAGGCGCTCAAAGGCCTCAAAAAGGCCTCAAAGCAAAAGCTTCAAGTGCGGGAAGGTGTTGGCTTGAGGAATCTCTTACTAGATGATTTCCTAAAACGGGATTGGATTTATAATAGAATATCATCGATCAGTTGTTTGTGCCACTTTTTGTTCTTAAGTGAGTCCTTAAGAGGATTTGGGAATCAAAAATCGTATTTCTAGGAATGAACTTTAACAAGAATCGATTCATTGACATTCATTGACATTCATTGACACTGACATTCATTTACATCGATTCATTGACACTGACAACAGGAAAGGATAATTTTCATGAATGAAGTGAAAATTTGTTGAATCCACACGTGTTTATAGTTCATTTGAGCAACTTTCAAAATCAAAATACTTTGGAAAATCTTGATTAGGCTAATTCTGGCCTGACTTGGCTTGATTTACTGGATTTTCGATGGTAAATCACGAGACAGAAACTACAGGATCCTCGTCTGCTTGAGAAGGAATACGGTCATGGAAATGTGCAATAGTGAGTTTATTGCTCCCTTAGCAATGTCAATTGCTCCCTTAGCAATGTCAATTGCTCCCTTAGCAATTTCAATTGCTCGTTGAGTTGTACAGGGTGGCCCATAATATGTTTTACGCCTTATATGAAAGCAGATTAAGTCGAAAATGTGTCAGGTTACTTCAACTTTGTTATAATTTTATTTTTAGAGCATTTTTATATATATATGTTGTGTCCGATTTAGATTGAGCTTATCGCGGACGTCCGATTTAGATTACAGTCTATATCGGACGTCCGATTTAGATTCAATCTAAATCTTATATATTGGGTTGGGGAGAATGAGTCGGCGCCGAAAATGAAAAAAATGTCTAAAACTTGTATTCGACTTCGTCAAATAATATGCGTTTGATATCAGTAGAATGGTTAACTAATTCTCTACAAAATGACATTTAAAAGAAAATTCAAACAGCGCCTCCGCTCAAGAGAAAGCCATTTTTTCACAAAAACTACAAACTGTCATCTAGAAAAAACCATTGGTGGGATCTTCCTGCAAATTTGGCAACTTAAGTAATTGAATGTGCTCTATCTTTTTTATATAAACACCAAAGAAGGTTTATGTGAAAGAAACTGTTCAAATGATGAGTCGGACTCTTTGCCATTTTAACCAGCTGCGTTTGGAAGTTCATAAACTCCACGAAAGAAAAGCCTTGTGGAATCTCTCAAAAGTCATTTTGTAGAGAAATAGTGGATCTTTTTGATGAAACCAAACGTATGTTTAAAGAAGGCTTTATGTGTGCAAAAAGTCCCTTTAAAGTTCGGCGCCGACTCATTCTCCCCAACCCAATAGGTTGAACAATAATACGTTTTATATACTGTTAACACTAATAAATTGTTTCATAGTTGGGTTTTCTTTTCAGAAAAAGACAGTAAAACAGAAAAAGACAGTAACAGACCTTTGAAAAATGCAGAAAACTACAGAAAACGCTTAAGAACATATATTAAGCATGTTTATATTATTGTTTCAATCTATATAAGGCGTACTATTGTTCAATCTATATAAGATTTAGATTGAATCTAAATCGGACGGAAATCTAAATTGGACACAACATATATATTCCAATTTTTAGTCCGATCGGTCGGCTATAAGAAAAATTAGGGCCATTAGAAGATCCGTCAATAAAAGCGTTTGGTACGGTGTATATTGTCTTATGAAATCGTGCTTAAAATGCTTCAAATTATCAAAGCTCTTGCTCAAATCATGTTTTTTACTTTCTCTATGTTAAGGTTATAAACAAATTTTTGTTTGAACTCATAAAATCAAATCTTAATTGCTTTAATTGTCGCCATGTTGAAAACGCGATGAAATTTGCTTATTTTTGTTTTAGATGACTCCAAAACTAACATTAGGCCAAAAGCTTAAAGCAAAAAGGGATAATTTTGATTTTATTACCTTTTTAAAACACTAATAACTAATGAAAATCACTGAAAAGTTCAATGCCTTGATTTTAATCACCAGTCTTTATCAACAAAAGTATCTCCAAAAGTTTTTTTCTTTATGGAGCTTCTAATGGCTCTAATTTTTTTTATAGCCGACCGATCAAGCTAAAAATTGAAATAGAAATGTAAAAATGTTATAAAAAAGAAGTTATAAATAAAAAAGAACAAAGTTTAAACAAAGTTGTCAAGTAACCTGACACTTTTTCGACTTAATCTGCTTTCATATAAGGCGTAACAAATATTTTGGGCCACTCTGGCCCAAAATTTAAAATTTGCAAGTTTTAGCTAGAAAAACTCAATTTCAGATCATTGGTTGCTAAATCAACAAAAGAAAACTCGTAGAGCTGAAGAAAAGTTGCGTACATCGAAACTCTCTTGTGTTGGAGAGGAAAAGAAGGGCAATTTCTGTTTGGAGCGATGAGAATTCGACCAAATGGGACATCTGGTGGCCCTTAATTTAGGCACATCCATTCCTCTGTCTTTAGCAAATCTTTGAAATTGTGATTTCAATGAAAGAGAGATAAAAAGATCTCTTTCAATGGCCACCATCATCTCGAGCTTGATGTCAATAAATGAGGAAAGAGTTTGC